GTAGCATGGTGGTTAAGGTGGCTGGATCCAACATGGTCAGCTGTGTGATTTAAATCCTGGACCTTGTGACTTGAAAAACACTCAGAGCATGTGTGAGTGTGTGCCGAAAATCCCAAAAGGAGGGGGAAGTGGAGGAGAAGGGATTATGGTGTTACCGTTTCCCATGGAGGGAGCACATGGGCCCTCTGTCAAAGTTTATTCTAAAAAATAAAGAAATCAGTTGTCCAGCACAAGCCTCAGTCCTATTTTCTATCAGCAGAGAGATCTTTGGCTTTTTTCATTTCTGTAGCAAATGTGGTCTACTTTCAGATGCTGGTAGGGGTTTTAGCTTCCTACAAACACGAGGTTGCTAAGACCTGCCTTAGAAACAAACTGGCTCACACTTTTATTGTTTTAGTGAGGAAGCAGATTAGCCCAAAGAAGTCAGATAAGATAGGCAGGGTTAGTGTCTGTGATTCCCTTTTGTGTTCAGTTGCAATGCCTTCCATGTGTCTGTGCCTTATTTTTAATGCAAAGATAGTGTTTTTGTTTTGTTTTGTTTTGTTTTTTGAGAGATTTTTGTTATAGGGTGCATGCATTCGCCAGAGAGACAGAGACAGAGAGACAGAAAGTAAGAAATCATCCCACCCAGGGGGTATAGCCACACCGCAGTCCCTTCTTCATTCTCCTCTCAGGTTCTTGGATACACATGCATATACGCCCAACTAAGTTTTAAACTGCCAGGTCCAGGTCTTGAACTGTGGTCAACTATGTGGAAGTCCAGCAACATAACGATTACCCCATCTGCTGGCCCTGCAAAGAGTGTTTTAGCATTATTTCACTAAGTGCTCCCATTTTATTGATGAAGGAACAGGTTCAGAAAGGCTTTGCCTGCAATTACATAGCTGATAAGTCTTGGATTTCACTCTTTCTGATTAGTAAGTTAGTAAAATGTTTGATTGTCGAAATGTTCATTTAAACAAGCCCAAACTCCTCTGTATGCTGAGAAAACTGTTTGTAATGTGATTCTATCTAATACCTGCCCACGTTTTCTGCTTCTTACCATTAGCCATCTTTGACCCTGTCATTATGTTTGCCTAGAATTTTCACTCTCCAGATCTTTGGGCAATTCAGCCCAGATGTCACTTCCTCAGAGAGGCCTTCTCAGACTACCCTACCTAATGCGGCCGCTGATTCATTCTGCGTCCTCTCTCCCTGTTTTGCTTTCTTCAGAGATGACTACTACCGGAAACAATCTTGAATTTATCTATTTACTTATTGTCTGACTATTCCCTGTTGAATGTCAGCTCCCTGATAACAGGTACCTTGTTTGCCCTGTTCTGATTATATCTTTCATGCTAAAAATAGCATCTGGGGTATCGTAAGCACTCATGTATTTAATGAATAAATAAACCATGCACTGACATGGTCAAGCTATGGTCTTGCCTGAATTTTTCCATTTTCCGTTTTCATGCCTCTGATGTCCTCATTTGTCCCACTCAAAATGCCTTCGTTTCTTCTTTCTAAACCCTGTGAATCAGTGCTATTTAAAGTGTGGCCCATGGGCCTATGGCATCAGCAGCACCTAGAAGCTTGTTAGATACCTGAATTCTTGGGCCTCATAACAGACTTACTGAGTCAGGATCTCTGGGTACCTGGCCTAGCAATACGTATTTAAACAAACTCTGTTCATATCTATGCTAAAGTTTAAGAACACTACCACTATCATGTAAATCCCAGCCAGGTCAGGTTGTGCCTTCCATGAAAGGTCTTTCCTCAAGACTAGGGTATTCTAAACAGCATATGTCCTTCACCTGAATTGCTAATAAATAGTCTCAGAATGGTTTAACCCTAACATGTTTTGCAGGTATTTGATCATTATTTCATATCACAACTGGTGTGTGAGCTTGAGTAAGACAAACCATGCCTAGACTCAAAAGCTATCTGTCTGCCTCCCCTGAACTTGGTATTTGCTACCATGTGGACTTCACTATGTATGTTTGATTGCATGGGGCCCTCCATTACCCAAAGGAGTCTGAATTTTGATATACCAAAGCACTGTTGTTTCAAAGAATCCTTATGAGTGGGTCCTATGTGGAATGAAGCTTCTGCCCTGTCTTTCTATGTGGTTACCTCTGGTCATATGAGAGCTTCTGTTGCATATGGATCACACAGAGTATCAAATGACATCAGTTTTTCATTATTTTCAGGACATTTTTTCTCTCATCTTCCCTCTGCCTATCTGAGAATTGGTAACACGTCACATTCCTCACTGAACACAAAGAAAATGAGAAAATTGGTTGCTATTGTTTCTCTGTGAAAGACAGAGCACCGCATCTGTCTTTTCATTCTGGAAGTTCTCCTGAGAGTTTCCATGTCAGCTTAAACAATCATTTCTGTGAAGATTAGAAGGACTTGACCTTCATTAGAGAAAAGACAAGAATTAAAAATAAAAGAGAACCTTTTGTGTGTTACTTTTCCCCCAACAAGTGGTCTCTTCTGCCTGAGTTCCAAAGATATTCCAGTGTTTTGTGCCATTAATCAGCTGGCAGGGACTTGAGTTCCGTGAGACTAGCTCAGAGTTTATGCTTATCGTACCCAGGATAACTAGTTTACTTTCATTCTGTTATTTCAGATGAAAGACTAATCTGAGAGCATGAGAGTTCCATGCAGGGTTATCTTTGACTCTGGAAGCTTTTGAAGTTTTGCAGCAAGTAATCCATGATTATTCACAGAATACCTACTAGATGGCCAGGGATATGTGTTAGGCTCTTTTATATTAGGTCAGGGGGAAAGTCTTGACACATTTTTGCATAGAAAATAATTTATGACTTTCCTGATGGCCTAATATGTTTGTATGAGTGTGTGTGTGTGTGCATGCACACACGTGTGCTTGCACAGAATTGTGTGCTGGGAAGTGGGGAGAAAAGATAATGAGCTGTCACACCCTTCCTTCTGGGACTGTAGGCTTTTGCTAGGGAAGCAAGCACACACCAGTTAGACCTGGGTAGAAATCCTACTTCTTTTAACAACTGTGGGTTTGGAGTAACTCAGTCTCCTGGGACTGTTAGGATAAATGAAACAGATGAAAGCATCATGCCTAGTGGGTACGAGGTACTGAATTGATGTGTTTCTGTGCATTTTTATACTTGTACCCTGCTCTTATAACAGAGATACAAAACAAATCCTACTGAAAACTTTATAGCTGTATGAGTTTCTGTAATTTAGGCTACAAGAACATCCATTTAAAAAAATACACATTTTCCCACAGCCTTTCCTACATTTGATGGTCCTAGGCTTGCTGTTTAATTTTGGCCAATCTGTCAGATATTAAATGTACCATACCGTTGTTCATATTTTCTCAGTGGCCATTTATCTTAATTACTTCATTTAATGTCAAAATTAATATATATTTATGGTAGGAAATTTGAATCCCCGTTGCTTGAGGATAACTACCATGCACACAGTGGTGAATTCTGAATTTCACCATATGCAATTATTGCAGTCATACCACATATACGTTTTTCTCACTTTTTTTCCAGTATTCCAGATTTTTTTTTTTTTTGAGAGGTTTTTGGTATAGGGTGCATGCGCTTGCCAGAAAGACAGAGAGAGACAGAGAGACAGAAAGCAAGAAACACCCCCCAGAGGGGATGGCTATGTCGCAATCCCTTTTCCTCCATTCTCCTCTCTGGATCTTGGACACACATGCACATGCGCCCGGTGTGAGTTTAAGCCACTGGGTCCAGGACTCGAACTGTGGTCATCTACATGGGAGTCCAGCGACATAGCCATTATGCTAACCGCTGGTCCCTCAGTATTCCAAATTTTTTATAAACATTTTATCATGGGATTTTCCTGCATATTAAATATTATGTAAAAACATGGTTATAAATGGCTACTTTATATTCTGCCATATGAAAATGCCTAAACTTATGTAACCAATGGTCATTACATTTTTCTTTTACATAGTTATAGGTAATGCTGACACTAGTATCTTTGTGGGTTTTTTTATAAGATTTATTTTAAATTTTATTTATTGTCATTATTCTTTAATTTTGACCAATGAAGGACAGACAGAGAGAAAGAGAGTGAGGAATTCACCAGGTTCGGGACTTGAACTTCGGTCAGTCATGTGGGAGTCCAGAGCCTTAACCACCATACCACCTGCCAGCCCCAGATGCCAATATCTTTGTTGCTTTTATAAGTTAACAGATATTGGATAATATGTAGTTAACTTTTTTTTTGGAGAGATTTTCACTGCAGGGCACGTGCGCTCGCCAGACAGACAGAGACAGACATAGAGACAGAAAGCGAGAAATCACCCCCCAGGGGGGATGGTCACGCCGCAATCCCTTCTCCTCCATTCTCCTCTCGGGATCTTGGGCACGCACGCACACGCTCCCGGCGTGAGTTTTAAGCCACCGGGTGCGGGACACGAACCGCAGTCGACTATGAGGGAGTCCAGCGACATAGCCATTACGCCAACTGCTGGTTCCCTAGTTAACTCTTAAATGTGGTAGCCTTGCCTTTTCTTTTCTTTTTTCTTTTCTTTCTTTCTTTTTTTGTTTGTTTTTAGGTTTTTGCCATAGGGCACATGTGCTCACCAGAGAGAGAGAGAGAAACAGTGAGAGGGACACTGAAAAATCACCCCTTCAGGGGGCATGGCCACACCACGTTCCCTTCCACATTCTGCTCCTGGGATTTTGGGAACATGCAAACACACATATGCACACACATGCACCGGTGTGAATTTCAGGCTGCCAGGTCTGGGACTTGAACCATGGTCAGCCATGTGGGAGTCTAACATCTTCACCATGCAACCTGCTGGCTTTTTAGCTTTTTCAAAACATCTGTATTAGGTAACCACAAGGGGAGTTTTGTTGGGGAAGCACCGTCTTATAATGCCTATAGGAAGCCTAATGACATAGCTGGTAATTCCGTGCAACATGCATCTGACAGTTTAGGGCCCTCCACCAAGAGCCCAGGTAGCATTCACGTTGCTTTTTCCCTCTGTGCAGTCCTACTGCTATAGGTATCGATGTGCTGCTCGGAGTCAGAACACACCTGATAGCTCCGCCTCCAACCTGGGATTCCGCTGTGCAGCTGACCGCCTGCCCACCGGGGACTGACCACCAAGAAGAGCTTTCCCAAATCCAAGGAGAAGTTATGTCTGACCTGCCCTTGGCTTCTGTCCAAACTTTGAATGCTCTTGTGCAAAGAATTCCCACCCCAGGGTGGGCTACATACCTTCCCAATGGCCAAAGGAGAACCCGTTTGTGAGACCAAATCACTGACCCGTGTCAGTGTACATGCTTTATGGTGTGGTGCATCTTTGGAGATCATCGCTGTGTTTTTATTTTTTGAGAGTGTTTTAAAGAGGAAGGGGAGTGGAGAGAACCCTGAACGAGGCTTTAGGGAGCCTGCATCCTACCCAGGCTCTGCCACAGGGGTTAGACCCTGGGCTCCAACATTCTATGTTTCTGGGCCTCTGTCCTCGGTTATCAAATGAGGGGATGGATGGCATGATCTCTGAGGTTCTCTCCATCTCACAAATTCTATAAATGATATCAGAGTCTATTGTGATTACATAGTGAGAATTTATGACAGATTATTTTTTAGCTATTTTTTTCCATGTGTGAACCTTGGGTGATACTAATCATGTAAAGTAAGAATTCTCTTATGTATTATTTTTCAGAAGAAAACAGGAGGGTGTTACGTCCTTTATATTCATATTGCACTTTGTTTTTCCAAGGAAATCAGTGTCTTTCACGTTGCTAGGATGAATCCCACATGGGCCAGTGATGGTATGCTACAGTGCAGCAATCTGAACACACAGGAACATCTGTGGGGTGACTCTACTGTGCTTTATCTTTTAACATTAAGTGCCTTTGGTTCAGAGGGGTAGCTATAAGCCCTATTTCCCCCTCTCCCCAAAGCCTTCGGTGAATATGAAATGTGTACTAAACGGGGAAACCTATTTAATTCTAGAAATCCGAGAAATGAATGAGGACTTTGAATTAACTATGTTCAGGGTATCCAGTATTTTATTATAGGGAAGTAGGAAATCTTGTTGACTGTGGAATAGCTGATGCTTTGAATCATGCACTATGTCGAATAAACTGGTATCTGCTTAATCAGGCTTCACCCTCATTGGTTCCTTTTCTATTTCCTTTCTTTGTGTTTTCTTTTAAACAAAAGATATTTGTAATATTTGTGGGGTTTTCATTTTGCTTTTTCAGAATTAGAGTCTCGCTGTTGCCCCTGACGGCCTCAAACCCTCGATCCTCCTGCCTCAGGCCTCCTAGCTGGGACTGCACATGCCACCACACCAAGCTTGTGCATTTTATTTGCTGAAAGACTTTTATGTTCATTACCTAGGTGATAACTTTGATGAAAGGGCAGTTTGTAGAAATATTTATTCCCAAAAGCAAGGCTCGTCTGCTTTAAAGTCAAGGGCATACTCGGTTGGTAGTTCATCACACCCAACGGCTGGTTCCCATGTCCGGAAACCACCTTGTTTTACAGTGGTGGCTTTCAACAGAACGTTCCCTGTTACCAGGCTCCTATTCTGATTCCTCAGTTCTGAGGACCCCCCCCCCAAGCCATTTCTAGCATGTCATTTAAAAGAAATGTTCATTTTTGTGTTGATTTTTCAAAAAGTGAGTGAGCCCAGCTTTGTGCATTTGGTAGCAAACTGAACTTCAGTGCCAGAAGCCACATGACCCAACTGTGAGTTTAGGTCCCCAGTTCAGCTTGAAAAAACATACCTAGTGCATACGCGTGTGCTCAGGATCCTGCCAAGCTGGAGGACCGAGGAACGGAGATGGTGACATGGCAAGGCGCTGTCGAAGGTGCTCCTCCCTCCCTTTCTTGCTGGTGAGTACATGTGCACTCTCTATCATGAATCAAACTTAAGGACAAAAAAAGTAATTTAAATAATATTTGTAAGTGTTTAGCTAACTTGATTGCTACTTTTGTGAATGGGCTCCTATTGTATTAAAACATTTGTCTTGGGACCAGCAGGTGGCATGATGGTTAAGGGTGCTAGACTCCCACATGGCCTACCATGGTTCGAGTCCCAGACCTGGTGGCTTGCTTTCTCTCTTTCTCTTTCTCACTCTGTCCCTCTCTGGTCAAATTTAAATAAATAAATCAATAAAAAAAGTTAAAGTAATAAAAATAATTATTTAAAAAGAAACAATAAGAAACATTTGTCTTAAACAATTATGTAGCTGGTGGGTTGAACCACATGAGATGATCTGTCACTTTGTGTATATAAAATGTTTCTCTACAGGCTTCCACCAATTGATGATTAATCCCAGGCAAAACAAACAAAGCATTTGTAGGCACCAGCTAATGTAGGAAGTGAGGTACTTTATTTTTCAAGTCACCACCATTCAGTACAGTTTTTGTTTTCACTTGTTGCCTCCCACCTGCGTACATTTTTTGACATCGTAATATTTACACTATGTATACTTCGAATTGTTATCTTGTTAATTAATGTTCTATAGTATAAATATTTTTGGGTGTTTTTTGGCATAGTCTTTTGAATTGCATTTTTAGCAACAGCACAATATTGGAAAGCTTTTAAAAAGCAATTCTAACAAGCCCTTCATTTAAGAACCACTTACCTTGGCTCCTAAATAAAGAGTACACCAAACTACACACAGCTATAGCCAATTCCTCTTTTTATATCACATGTTAACATATGAGTGGTCCAGCAGCGACAGTGTAATAATATTGTTTCAATGCCATAGATATACACCTGAAAAACCTTACTTTCTGCCACATTGCACACAAAAAACTAGGGGCATAAGTTAAAAATAGGGGTGAAGGTAGACTACTCAAATTTAGAGAACTTTGAGGCCAGCAAGTAGCGTAGTAGTTAAGGCACTGGACTCCCACATAGCTGACTGTGGTTTGAGTGTGGGACCCAGTGGCTTGATGGTCACACCAGGCATGTATGTGCCCAAGATCCCAAGAGGAGAATGAAGGAGAAGGGAAAGGCCATTCTCCCTGAGGGGGGGATTTCTCACTTTCTGTCTTTCTGTCTCTGTCTCTCTGGCAAGTGCATGTGCGCTATAGCAAAAATATCTCAAAAAAAAAATTTAGAGAACTTTGTACATGATACAAGAGCACCAACAATAACTATTCTAATAAAATCAGTAGCTTAATTTAATCTTCACAGGCACTTGCAGTCAAGTGGATCCTTTGCAGCCTCAAACCCTGAAGCTCCTCTTCCTTCTCCAAAGTGTAAGTCCTTAAAGGAATTTTTTTTCTCAGTTTATTTCTTTCTCTCATGAATGAGAGAGATAGAGACAGAGGGATAGATCTTGATTCTGTGATCTACCACCAGCCTCAACCCTGGATCGTGACACACGAGCATCAGGGAGGACTCTGGACATAAATCCAGAACCTTCACATGTAGATCAGCCTCACAGATCATCACATTTTTCTTAGTTCCACTGTCTGCCACCCACCCCCTGACGGCATTTACTTTTAATGGACACTGCTTCCATCAAAAGTAAAAATCTGATCTGTAATACAGACTTCTCCATCTATCAGTTTTTAAAGAGGGAGGGCAGTGAATGTGTATCATCTATCTCTGCATCTTTAGCTTTTCAGAGAACTTAACATAGAGGAAAGGGTAGTAATTCTTAAAGCCACCAAATAAGCCCCTACTTGCACTAAAGAAAGGTATCCCATAGCATTTACAAAATAATTTTTTTCAAAGTCTTCATATATCGCTAAGGCTTCCTCTTAAGTCCAGGAAAATCTGTTTCTGATTGTTTCAAAACATGTTTTATTAGGTCACTGGAAAAGTCATGACACATTTTTGCACAGAAAAAGATGTCATGACTTTTCCAGCCACCCAGTAAATCACACAGGGTCTAACATGACTTGCATGCTCTACAGTCCTCTATTCTCTATTACAATCACTTATGAGCAGTTTCTGAATTAAACTCTCAGAACAGAATAGACTATTTGATTGATGTGTAATTCAAGTGTTGAAAACTTTTTTTTTTGAGAGGTTTTTTTTGTTTGTTTTGTTGTTTTTTTTTTTTTTTTGCTCTAGGGTACGTGTGCTCACCAGGAAGACAGAGAGAGACAGAGAGACGGAAAGCGAGAAATCCCCCCCAACCCAGTGGGATGGCCACACCGCAATCCCTTTTACTCCATTCTCCTCTCTGGATCTTGGGCACACACGCACACGTGCCTGGCATGAGTTTAAGCCACCGGCTCTGGGACTCGAACCGTGGTTGACTACATGGCAGTCCAGTGACATAGCCATTACGCTAACTGTTGGTACCGAAAACTCTGTTTTTAAAAAATCTTCCAGGTGCTTTCATAGAGGATCCAGAATTGGTTTCTAACTCTTACTTCTTATCTCATTGAAGCATGGAAGGAATTTGAGGTTTGTTCTCAAATCCACTTTGGTCCTGAATCCTGGACAATTTTACTTTATTTTCAGAGTGTACATGAGTGGGAAACAAGGCATATCTTTTTTCTTAAACCTTGTCAACATGATTAGAGCAGGGTGGAGGTGGTGGGTAATGACAGTGGTAATCAGGACTGACATTTCTTTCTTGGAAAAACATCAGATTGCATAGATGTCTCAAACTGCATGGTTCAGCCCACAGCTTAAAATGGAATACAGATTTGCAACAAAGTAGACTTCTATTTTTTTTTTTCCTTTTGTTACCCCCTCTCCATACCTCCACTTTTTTTTTTCTTTTTCCTTTCCTCTTTTTTTTTTTTTTTTTTAAAAAGAAAGCGTATGAATTGTCCATATGATCCTTGAGAAAAAAAAAAAGAAATGGTAGGCACTGTTTATTTCAGTAACTGTTGATGAAAGCAAGGTGTGGTGGGATGGTGGCTTCCAAGTGATGAATTGGTAAATTCTATTTTCCAGGGACTGTCTTTACTGAGGATTCTATTGTCCACATAAAATAAGGTGGTGGCCACTCATCCATGAGAATTCCAGTCCTCTTCCTAATGACCTTTTCAATAAATCACGTTTTTATCCTTAACTTTCCAGCTGAGTAGAACTTCTGCATGTATTGGGTTGTTGGGAAAGTCATGACATTTTTGCTTAGAACAACAAAAACAGGTCATGACTTTCCTGATGACCTAATAGTAAAAATCCATAGTTTGCTTAGCAAAGGAATATTTTGAAAACAAAACAAAACACCATCATAAAAATGGTGATGAAAAATTAAAGGTTTAAAATTCCAGAAATGTTATGCAAGGACTATTAGAGATTTCTTTTTTTTACAGTTTACCTATTGGGTTGTCAGAAAAGTCATGACTTATTTTTCTATGCAAAAGTGTGTCATGACTTTTCTGATGACACACTATTTCTCCCATAGGAGAACAACAGAGAAAGACATATTCACTCCCGGTAGCATCCTTACTTTGTGATGCGCCCCAGTGCCAGCCAGCCTGGATCATGGGCACACACACCAGCCCTGTCCAGGGAGGTGCTGGATGTAAACCCAGGAGCTCTCTTGTTGGAATTCAGTTGCACCACCACTGTGCCACTCCCTGGCTCCTCTTTTTTTCTAAGTGATCTGTTTCATGTGTTTCTTTCTTCTTCTTCCAACAGATATTAACCTTACCTTAGCATGTTTCTCATAAAGGGGTTAACCTGGCTACTAGGGGGAATGAAGGAAATGCAGGCTATGGCAAGAAGTGTCAACAGGGGAAGCAGGCTGGGTCTGATGTCCATTCCAATGAGGCTGTCACTGCTCTGCTCTTGCCATTGGCTACCAGGTAGAAATGTCAGCCCACAGTAGCTGGATATGGGCATTTTTGTGTGAAGTCTTCTGAGTTTTTCATGTTGGCAACAAATTCATGAAACTGCAAGGACTAATGAATTGCTTCAGTAGCCAGATGCAGCTTGGGGGGGGGGTGCCAGCTTGCAACCTAATTTGTCTCATGGAGTATAAAACCTTATATCTAAGAATGACTGATCAAGTAAATAATGTACAAGTACAGATTGTACAAGTCTGCTCTGCTCTTGCCATTGGCTACCAGGTAGAAATGTCAGCCCACAGTAGCTGGATATGGGCATTTTTGTGTGAAGTCTTCTGAGTTTTTCATGTTGGCAACAAATTCATGAAACTGCAAGGACTAATG